GCCGGGACTGTGTGGCTCTGAGCGGGCTTCAGGTGACTGGGAGACTCCTGCAGTCCAGTCCTGTCTGGTTCCCACAGCGCCGGACCACGTTTGTTCTGAGGACTGTCATCTGACTGAGGACAACACATGGGGAGCTCCGGCAGACCACAGGAGGAGGCCACGTCGCGGGTGGCACTGGGGCATCAGGGAGGACCAGGCTGGCTACTGCCAGTCCCCGGAGGCAGCCCCGTTTTGCGAGCTGGTGGTCTGAGTTGGGGCCAGAAGAGGGAAGGAGACAGTACAGTGACCAGCTGGACGGGGCCACACCTGGTGATAGGAGGGGACCCTGGGCAGCTGAGGGTCATGGGAAGAGCTCCAAGGGCGAGGCAGGGCCTCAGGAGCCTGGCTGGGAGTTCCCGTCGTGTGAGGACGGATGTGGCCAAGCAGGCGGACGCCTGCTCACTGCGATCTGTGCAAAGGCCAGGGCGGCAGCCACACGGGCCTCCATGGTGTGTGCATCTCCGGGTGAGGCCCAGGGGCCCCTGGCAGGGTGGCCACTGTTTCCACTTGGCCTGGGGCTGAGAGCACCCGGCTGTGCCCAATGGGCGCCCCCAGTCCTGCTTACCCTCAACTCAGTTCCAGCACCAGCTAGCCCCACATGGAAGCCCAGCTCCTGACCCGTGCTGCCCTCCAGGAAGAGGTCGGCTTACCTGCCGTCTGGCGAAGTAATCCTTCACCAGAGAGCCCATGATCTGCTGGGGAGACTTGGCGGTGCAGAGGTGAGGGGTGATGGGGTGACCCAGTACCCGCTCAGCGTATCGGACCCAACCTGCGGAAAGAGCGGGTCCCGTGTCAGCTCCTCGGACTGCTCCCTCCTGCTTCCCACACACCCCAGGGTTACCGAGCTCCTAAGACCCCGACACCTATTCGTTAGGCCTTGCCATGAGGGTGCGACACACCCTTTCCTGAAGCCGCCACCACCCTCAGCAATTGGGGCCACAGGAAGCCTGGAGGGTGCCAGGAACAGGTGCCTCTGTTGGCCCGGGAGCAGAGGACGGAGAGGGGAAGCCAGGATAGCTGGTCCCCCAAAAGACGGGATGTTCTTGAAGGGGTGGCTACAAGGCAGTGGCCCCGGCTGCACGGTTCCAGCTGCAAACATGTTCTTGCAGCCGGACTGCAGCCACACCACAGATGGCTCCGCCATGCCCCCTGGGAGCACTGCTGCTGCGTGGTTGCCAAGGGTGGACCAGGTCAGAGGTCAGCAGACCCACAGCCCACTCCCTTCTCCCGCTAGGCCTGGCCTGGTGAGAAGGGCATCTCGTGACACCTGCTGACCCTGCAGACTGGTTTTAAAAGTGCTGCCAGATGGAATCTCAGTATCAACTCAGTAAAGAAATGTTTTTATTCCATAATTTTTATTTAAGCTGGCAAAGAATCGATGAGTGTTCGCCATGCTATCATCTATAATTATTTAGATGTCTGAAATATGCCATACTTTTGAGAAAAAATAGACTTATTTTTCCCAATACATGATATTTGTCTCAGAAACTTTAGCAGTACGGATAAATGAAGACAAAATATTAACACTCAGCTGTCAGGTCTCCCCCCCACCCTCCACTCCCCCACTCCCCCCCAATCAAACCACCCAGAATTAATGAGTATGTTGGGTGACATGAAATCCTGCACCTGGCCCAAACTCCTCCCCAGGTCTAGGAGTCCAGGGGGGCTGGGCCTGCTGACCTCTGACCTCACCCACTGCCCTGCCCCTGGTGCTCACCAGGACAGGCGGAGGTCAGCATGGGTAATGCGGGTTGCTCCTCACTGTGCTGGTGGTACCGACGCACGAATTCTCTCTGGCTTTCCAGGATGCTGAAGTCCGCAGCTATCGTTGTGTCAAACACATAATGCACTCCTGCAGGGGAGAGGGGCTCAGCTTTACATCACCAGCCTGGGGCCTACTCTCTGAGTCTGGGCCTCAGAGAGACCAACTGAGAAAGCAGGTTCTGCAGGCAGCCTCCTGAGCTAGCGGTCACCCCATGAGCTGGCAGTCGCCCTCCTGAGGCTAGCGGTCGCCCTCCTGAGCTGGCAGTCACCCTCCTGAGCTGGCGGTCACCCTGTGAGCGAGCAGGCACCCTCCTGAGCTGGCGGGGACCCTCCTGAGCTGGCAGGCACCCTCCTGAGCTGGCGGGGACCCTCCTGAGCTGGCGGGCACCCTCCTGAGCTGGCGGGCACCCTCCTGAGCTGGTGGTCAACCCCATGAGCTGGCGGNGACTTCAGAGCACGCTGGCCTGAGCCCCACCCAGGACGGGCCGCATGGTCAGCCAGCTCAGCACAGGCTGTGGCCACTCGAGCGGCTGAAATTCCATAAACCTCAGTCCAGCCATCCACAAAAGGACCACCACCGGAGGACCTGCTGAGTGGCCCGTGCGTGTCCCGCACAGTAGGAGCACCAGTGTCGACTAGGGTCACTGACCACAGGAGCCCAGCCTGCTGTTCTTGGTACCCAGGGAACTGAGGAAACTGTTGCCTGGGGCAGCCGCACCTGGGGCAAGTCCAGATGTGAACGTCGGAACAGACAGAGCTTGGGAAGGCAGTGTGGGTAGTAAGCAGGCAGCCCCGCGACAGACCACCGACACCCGACGCCCCACATCCCACACCAGGGGCCTGCCCACATGCCATTCAAGAGCCAGGCAGATGGCCAAGGGTTACGGTGGAGCTGTGGGGTGACATGGGGAATGGCCCCCAGGTCAGGTGCCACCTGCACCCACACCTTGGCACAGCACATGAAGTCGGGAGGCCCTGGGACACGTGACCGCCAGAGACCACGAGGAAGCCCATCCCTAGGCGGCCCTCCCTGCAAAAGCCACTTACAGGGTATCCACAGCAGCGTCCTTTGCTGACAGGTCACTTTGCTCCATTATCTGCACAATTTCACCTACAGGTGAAGGAGAGGCAGGAGGCGCCATGAGAGGACTCAGCTGGTGCCGGCGGAACCTCACACGTGCCCCACAGCTGTGTCCATGCTATTTTCTTCCCCGCAGCAAATTCTAAGTGAAGGTGACCCTGGATGCTGTCCTCACACAGACAGCAAGGAGCCATCTCAAGGCCAAAGTAAGGCCAGTACAGTGGAAAACGCGAATAAGACGTAAGAGAAGGCTCTGAATTCCTCTCTGTGCTCCTGAAATGAAGGACTTTGGCAAACCACCTCTTCGTGTTTTGTTTGCCAAGCACAACACTTTGTGGTGATGTGAGGATGACCGAACACACTGGCGGGATTTACGTGACGCACTGTCGTCGGCACTGAGACTGACGGACACCAGAACACTCCTGGCACGGATTCTGCACCCAGGAAGAGGCCTGGGTGTGGTTCCCATAAAACCCACCATCCGAGGCAAGCAGCCTGCAGCCCCTCCCGACCCACTCGCCCCGCCAGGCTCGGCCCCACAGCAGCCTGCACGGCGGAGGCCTGTCTTGGGCGTCCACGGGCTGGAATTCTGGGTCAGGGCCCCACGGAGGGGATCATGGCCCCCAAAGGTCGCCCAGCCCCACCCACCTCTCACCTGAGGTTAACACGCAGTCAGCACCCCGGGAACTATGCAAAGCTGTGGGAAAATCTTCTCGAAGGGCCTCCAGCTTCTTGTCATAGCAAGGGGCCACAATGACATGGAAAATCTTATCTGGGGACAGGTTCTGTGGAGAAGAGCAAGCCTGTGTTCAGGGCCATGCAACACTGCTGCTCAGGGTGCGCCTGCAGGCCACTCCGCCCCCCTGGCTTCTGGGAGCCAGGCAGCCCTGGTCTGAGTCCA